AGGGTTAGGTTTAATATAAGGATTAGAAAACCCTAATCTAAATACAAAAGCCCAAGCCCATCATCCAAATTACAAAGTTAAAGCGAGTTATGCAGAACTAACCCCTCAAGTTTGGTCAACTTCTTAAACCAACCCAAACTTCAATATATATATATATATATATATATATATATATATATATATATTAAACTAATATATATATATATATACACACACACATACATATCTGACGGGTATTATACAGCCAGTCATAGATGTTCTGTGAAAATGCATGCGAATACTATAAGAAATTTACTATATGATGAATTTAAAACGTTAACTAGAATTACATTGACATAGATTTATTGCATAAAATGATGACTATTTTGAAGATAGAAAACAATAGATATGAAAGAGAATTCAGAACCGCCACCAAACCAATTTGGGTGAGAATTACTTATGTATTTTGATCTACGATGCTGTAGATCATTGATACAATTGTGAAGCATTATCTTATGTATTTTACGAGAGGAGATTTGAGTTTGAAAGATTAATCTGTTGAAACGTACACACATTGTTTATCTTTTTTGATCTTATATCTATTCCTGCAGTACTCTTGTAATTATTAAAAGATCAAATTGTAACAAATAAATACCAAATTTTCACTTGTTTTTTTTTTTTTTGTCATGGCAGTTAAAAATTGTTAGTGATACTATTTAATTTTTGAAAAAACTGTTATAAAACCATTCAACTTCGTATCTATTATACATGTTTTCTTTGTAACAGTTATCTAAAATAATCAATTTTAAAGAATACATGTTTTAATAGCAAGATTTCAAAGTCCAAGGACCAAATTAGAATGAAATAAAAAATATGTTATTATTTATTGCAATTTGAAAGTTGGGGGTTGCGTGACTGAAACTTGGTATAAGTTGAAGGGCTGTTTTTGTAGTTCCGACAAACGCAGTTCATCGATTTTGCTTCATAGTTACCGTCATTTCTAAAACCCTAGTCGATTTTTCAGTCACTCCATCTGATCTTCCGTGCTGGAATCCATAAATCTGTATCATTTAAATCTGCTATATAAGGTGAGGATCAATTGTATCTAATTAATTCGTTGATTTTTTTCACTTCTATTTCAGTGAAGATTCTTATTTGTGGCTGTGCTCCACTATTTGTTCATTTGTTTGATTGATTGGTTAGCTTACATACATTACAGAGAGATGGAATTTTAATTTGTTGAAGGTAAACTGGATATGTGAAAGTTCTTAATCGATGATAATTATGAGTACTTGTTAAAGGAGAAGCTGTCGATTGATTGATTGTTGATAACGGACTGATGAGTTTTTATTATTCAATGCTTATTGTTTTGTTTTGTATTGATTATTGAACATTTTGTCTTAAAAGTTAGGGTTAACGTATTTGCGAAGGCTCGTTTATATTTATTTTTCTCATTTTCTTTTCCCTGGATTGATATAATGCTTGGAGTACTTCGTATTCATGCAACGGAATAAGCCCTTTCTTCATGAAGCCCTGGTTCGACTTGGGCTTGCAATTAAGTCTGTTTTCCCCAATTTTTTGATTGCTCGATATGATTATGTGTGATGTGATCCATGTTTTGGCTTGTCCCCTTTGTTTGTCCTAAATCCTAATGATCTATTTCTCAGTTCAGGTGTTCGTGAAAGGATCACCGGTACAGGAAGAAAGAAGCAATTTTGTCGATGGCACCACTTATAAACAGGTTTCCTTTCGTAGCTAATCATTTGAAGAGAATGATAAGTAAGCTTAATGCAAATGACGAAAAACACACAATAAAGTCATGGTCTCGTGCATCTATGATTATACCAGAAATGGTTGGCCATCGTATTGCTATCCATAATGGAAAGCGACACCGTCCTATTCAAATCAAAGATGCTATGGTTGGACACAAATTGGGAGAATTTGCACTTACTAGGGCACGTAAGCCACAAAAGCCACAAAATGTGAAAAAAGTTGCAAAAAAGGGAAAATGATCCGACTCCAAGATAACTGTGGCAAGAACATGTTAACTCAAGCCAGTGTGGTGAAGAATAGGTCAAGATTTGTAGTTTCTAAGTTCCTCATCATTTGATTTCTGGATTTACTTTTGCAAGGTGATCCTATGGAAACTTGTTAGTTTGTATTTTGCTTTCCATTTTTCGAGTATTTTCTGGATCATCACGTGCTGCAATTCGAAGATTATGCGCGTTCGCAGTTTATTTGTAATAATGAATTTGATGTTTTTGGTGCATTGGTTCGATTTAGCATCAACCTTGTCTTCTTCCATTGCCTTTATACATGTTCCATTTTGTTCATCTTTTCAGTTAGTACTAGTACACTACTAGAACTTGTTCATGTGACTTGCTTCTTCCAAAATGCAGATATGCATAAGTGTTTTGTGAAGGCGTTCTTAAGGTTTTTAAATAACTACAACTACATGGCCTGAATTTCGAGGCTGAATAGATTCATTAGCGAGCATGGCCACAAAGGTCTTTAAACAGTTTGCCTGTTGGATGTCAGAGGTTATACAAGGGTTGGTAGTTTAAGCTATGTAGAATCACTGATTCCATAGACCGCCTTGCTTCATCCTCCTTGATGTATTGATAAAACATAAATCATCCCCTTGGGTTCACAGCTGATAAGTTTTCTTTGTCTGTAACTCTGTATTGGCTTCTTGAAATGTTGTGTACTGTCATTAAAAATTTTCTGCTGTGATAGTCGCTGCAATGATCTTAAGATGCTTAGCATGAATCTTTAGAAAATAGCCACATGGATTGTAGCTTATGTGCCTCTTTGCAGATTTAATATTAAACTTAGAAATTTGAATACAAGGCTTTATCCCAAGTCAGTCCATATTGTTTGATGAAGATTTTGGCCTTCTTGTGTTTTTTTTTTTTTCCAGTATGGATCCAGAGCAAGGAAGGGCTGTGACCTGTTGAGACAGGCTAAAACTAGTTATAACCAGTTTTCCTAGGAAGCACTAATTGTGCCCTTTCTTTGGTTCCACTATAAATCTTGAGCGGAACAGAGCTTGATTTTGAAAGTCCAACAGTGGCAATTCATGTAAGACCTAAGGCAGTGCAGAAAATCCCCATTAGAGATGGTCTTAGCAATCACTGGCCTGACCTGGTTAGGGTACGTGGGACAGAACAAGACGTGCTTGAACAAAAATTTGTTGTATCGCGTTTGGTCTGTTATTAGACTGTGACAGAATAGGACTGAGAAGGACAAAATTGCATCTTTTTATCCCACCAAAATAGGTGGAACAAAAGTCTGGGAGATGAGAGAAAATTGGTAAATTACTAGAGGATCCATGTCAAATTAAAACCCTAAAACTCTGCCAATTCTTTCTCACCTGTCTCACTTTTACCCATCCAGTCTTGTTCCGTCCAATCTTGTGCAGTCTCGCTTACCAAACGCACCCTTAAGGACCTATTCAAATGGTGAGAAAATGGGGACCGGCTGGCTTGATTGACATACTCTGTCATCAGTTCATGATCAAACATGTATAAAGAGAGACTAAATTGGATCACATACTACATTTGCATCACTTGGTTCTCAATTCGTGGATCATGCAACGATGCTGATGAAATTGAGTTTGACCGATCAGATTAGTGTCGACCTTCCCCTTTATGAAGTTATGCTCCCTCCTTGATGTTGAACTTTAAAACTTTTATGTGCTTGTAGTGTGTATGTTCTCTCTTGGTAACTTTGATGAAATTACATTTCTCCTAGCATGATTAAAAGTTTGTGGTGGGTAATATTGAAATCAGAAGACGATATGATATGAACAAGTCATTGCTTTCAGTCCTTCACAACATGACCGATATCTATTAAACTGCTTAGGAATAACCCTTGTGGCACTCAACATGGGCTAACGCCAAAGGTTGCAGAAACAAATGAAATTTCATAATGAGAGTGATTTAAACGAATATTATACAGACGATCTTTCTGAAACTAATACTCGAAAAATAATGTGAAGTTCAAAGCCTAACAGCGGCACTCAACTTTGATGGACCGGTTGAATTCTCTCTTGATATTATCTGTTCTAATTTCGTTTGCATCTACCAGCCTTTTAAGTTTCTTGAAGCTTTTATTTCGATTGCTTTACTGCTAAAAAGCTGCAAATGACATTAGAACAGCTTGCCCGGTTGGGTTCCACTTCTCATCATTGTGCAGAACTCTTCATAGTTTATCTTCCCGTCCTGTCAAAAACAGACAACCATTGTGACTTGTATACTATGGACTCGAGAAACAGTGAAGACGAAAATGAAACAAAGAACTCACATTATCGGTATCCACTTCTGCTATTATGTCTTTAATGGTGGCTTCATCTCCCATTCCATAGTTCTTCATTGCTGTTTCTAGTTCATCTCTTGTAATAAACCTGGTTCACTCAAAGGTTCACAATCATAATTAGCCTGGATGAGAATGAGATGATCATCAGTTAATACCATCAAATCAGGCTGCTTTATGCCTTTACATACCCACTATTATCGGTATCAAAATGCTGAAAAGCTTTGTACACATGTTCTTCCCTTTCTAACTTGTGTCGATGCATTGTTGCTGTGATGAACTCAAGGTAATCAATCGACCCATTCCCATCAACATCAGCCTGAAACACAAAACAAGTATTTAAGCAAGAGGGTGTTCATAAAAACAAGAATCTTGAAGTCTATAACATTCCAAAAATCTTACAGCTTCCATGAGTTGCTTCACTTCAGCCTCTGTTAGCTTTGACCCTAATCGAGCCAGTCCAGTTTTAAGTTCGTCGTAGGTAATTGTCCCACTGTTATCAGTGTCTATGTTCATAAACATTGATTTTAGCCCTTGAATTTCTTCTGCTGATAGATTTTCCGCGATGACCTAGGATATCAAAACAACATTTTTGTCAATGATTAATGTCAGTTATCGCTCCCATTTACAGTTAAAATGGAAGCCAAGATATTAGCTGTTTCAGGTACCTTGAGAGCAAGTTTCTTGAGCTTGTTCATAGCTCGGAATTGCTTCATCCTCGAAAGAACAGCGCTGTCTATTGGCTTGTCTGATGCTTCCCCACCTTCTCTAATCCATGGATGTTCTGCACCCATTTCAAAACATACAACATTTTATGAGCTTATGAACATATCTGCATACATACATATATACATGTTATGAGCTTCTTGCATTGCACGTTGTCTTTTGTGCTTGTTCATAATCTTAACGTTTTACGTTTGTTACTTTGATGCGTACCAAGAACTTGAGCAGAAGTTATACGCCTCTTCGGGTCTTGTGTCAGCATCCTTCGGACAAGGTCCTTGGCACTCATGGAGATAGATGGCCAAGGATCGCTTTCGAAATCAATATATCCTTCTAATACAGCATCAAATATTCCTTTCTCTGTCTCTGCAATTTTGCAGCAATTTGCAGGTTTCAATCCAACTGATCATCTTAAATACATAAAGACCTAAGAAGATGCCAAACAGAGCACCAGATTACCTGCCCAAAAGGGAGGCACACCACTGAGCAAGATATACAGCATCACTCCTGCACTCCATATGTCGATTTCCTTCCCGTACTTACGCTTCAACACTTCGGGCGCAACATAGTACGCGCTGCCAACAATATCCCGGTATGATTTTCCTGCAAGTGTTTGTTTCTATCGTCACAACACCTTATGTAATCAATTAATCATACAGGGTAGCTCGAATGAACATGGTGCTAGCTTTACTTAGAAAACCAGGAAGATAATTTGGTAACAACTAGCTAATAAGCCAGTTGACAATCTATAGAGGAAATGTTGAAAATTTAATTGGAAAAAAATAAACGGCATAATTAGAAAAGGTGGAAAAAACCCGGAGCCTATTGCTTTTTGCTAACCAAACTGGGATTCTCAATAAGTTCAAAAAATAAGGTAGCTTGTGTTTGTTGTCTTAGTGTCTGATTAACAGTCTAATTCACTACCTGATTGTTCAATCCGATACAATCTTGCAAGATCGAATGGATTCTTTTGGTGGGGTTTTGGTTAAAGGTCCATAAGTATATGATGAAGGCTTAAATTAAGTATGTCAATGCAATTAAATGGAGGTCTGATTGGTAGTACCTTCTTGAATGAAGACTGATAACCCAAAATCTGTAGCCTTCAAAAGTGCATTCTCGCTCTTGTCCGAAAGCAAGAAATTTTCGGGCTTCAAGTCGCGATGCATCACACCCATAAAATGACAAATATGAACCACATTAACAATAGACCTGCAAATGGATGCGGCAGCTCTTTCGCTATAATGACCCTTGGCGATGATCCTATCAAAAAGCTCACCTCCTTCACAAACCTCCATAACCAAGTGTACAGATTGCTTATCTTCATAAGCACCCTTAAACTCCACAATATTAGCCTGCCCACTCAAATGTTGCATAATCTGAATCTCTTTCCTCATATCATCTTTATCACTCTTTGTGACCAGTTTCTTTTTCAATATGGATTTGCAGGCATACCTTTGACCAGTTGTTTTTTGTGTACAAAGATATGTAACACCAAATTGACCTCTACCCAATTCTTTCCCCATTGTGTAATGTTGTTTAACATCCTCAAATGGTTTGCCAAGAATAGTGTCAGACTTGTAGAGCCTTTTGGGGCTGGGTGGTTGTTTTGTGGCCGGAATTTGGACAGCGGGCGCGGGAGATTTGGTGTAGAGTGTGTTGGGTTGGTGGGATGTTGATGTTGGTTTATGCGCATCAGGATTTGTAGCTCCAGTTTTGGTTTTGCTACTACATAGACCCATTTGTGTGGATGGAAAGGGGAAGAAAATGGTGGAGATTAGGAGATGATGAGATGAGAAGGGGATTTAATAATATAAGTTGCAGAAGGAAGGAACGTGGTGAGGTGGAGGAATTAAAAAAGAGAAAAGAGAAAAGAATGGAAGAAGGTGTGAAGGAAGGAAGAAACGCGGTGTTTGAATAATGGTCAAGAGGAAGAGGAAGTGGAAGTGGGGGTTTGACTTTATGAATAGTCATCATGGTGTCCACCCGTATCTGGGAATGAAGAAATGTGCTTTGTTTTGTGTCCATTCAGCATTGGCCAGATATTAGGACCAATCCCTTCTACTTCTTGGTTGTCTTGTCTTTAAACACCATTTTCATTTTGTATTTGTATCTGGTTAAAAGTTATAGCCGGCACTCTCCCATCCCATCTGCAAGATTCCAGATATCTTTTGGTTTAAAACAACTCACAATTCTAATATTATATTTGGATAATATTATTATTTATAAAATAAATATAATTTATAACAATCATATTATATCTATGTTATGGTATCAGGTTGGATTGGTCCAAATAATCCTAATCTAAATTTAACTCAATACCTACAATTTGAATATTTTACAATTCATTAAGGTTTCAAGTGGCTTCAGATTGAGTTGACCACCCCTACCCTAGGACATGGTTAAATCAAAATTCTTGAAATTATGTATGTTAAAAAAAACGTTATAAAAATAGGAATAGGAATAGGAATAGGAATGTGAAATTAAAAATAATAAGATGTTAGTTTATATACAATTAGTTTTATTTAAATATTAAATATTGTAGATATAAAAAGGATGAGGTTGTTATAAGTGCATACGAGAATGTTACTCGATTTCCATTAATCTACAAGATTCTCAAATTGCTTTCTCCTTCTATTTATTTGCACATTTCTTGTGTGATCTAAACGTCGAAATTGATGCTCTCATAATTTTTACCATTTTATTTTATAACCATATATATATATATATGGTATATTTCAAATGCAACTATATCCGTTTGTACAACTAATGTAACTCAATGAATTGAGATATTTATGTAAATTATGAAAGTTTATTTATTATGATTTAAATATTTATGGAAGAAGACTATAGTTCATTAATTATGATCAATACTTTATATTATGAAACAATCAGAACTTTTATAAAATTACATATTCATCAAAATAAATGAACGGTTGAGATTGAGTTGTATTAGTTATACAAATATAAAGGGATATATATATATATATATAAACTTTAATCAAAATAAATAAAAAAACTAGAAATATTCCCAATTCCAAAATTATGATCATTATCTTCATGTCTTTATTCTATTTTTCGTTATATAAATTAAATTACGAGTTTGGAGCTACTTTTTATGAATCGCATTTTGTTTTTTTGTTAAACGACAAAATAATTTGAATTAAACTAAACGACACTTGGACCAAACCAAAATAAGATGGAACAAACATTATTTTAAAGGAAGCGAGAATAAGATTTTAACGGGACCTATTCTATATCTGAATAACTCGATTTTGAAATGAAGAAAAATTTGTAAATAATAAGTAATATTATATTAATTAATAATCATAATTAAATCTTAGACATACTTGTATGATAATTAGTTTTAAGATAAGGTAGTCATAGGAGACATGTACCCAAACACATACACACACACACACGTTTAATGGTATAATAACTTACGTATCAGTTTCTTGGTTGGAGCGATGTTTGAATATAATTGGTCATTTTGGATTATCAAGGTGAATGAATCCTGTTACCAGCTTTGCTTGCACCGTCTTACTTAGCTCAACGTCATCGGTCCAAGTGATTCGGTTGGACCAAGTCCATGTTCTTCAACACTATGCAAGACTTTTTCACATTCAAACTTCCCTCGATATAAACCATGATGCATCTTTCACGTAACTCCTTTCTTTTTCCATTTAATAAAGTTGCCAAAACGGTCTTATCTATAACTAATTTCTTAACTCATTGCGTCTAATCAAACCAAATTGGTCTTATCAGTTTTCAATAACCAGTCTAATAACTGCCTTAACCGATCCTCGCTCGGATTCCCTTCTAACCAGTATGTGATGTCCATCCATACTCCATCGGTCCATTGTCTATGTTAAGGGGTTGTTTACTTAGTAATGATTCTCTTTAATGGAATAATGGGTAAGAGATGATGTTTTCCTACATTTCTTACTGATTGAGGAGGAGTTGACCCAGTCAGCCACCTATATATCATTGACTGAGCGAGATAGTGTTCACCCAAATTGAAACAACTATATTCAGCTAACACTTACCTGGTCTGAACCTCTTGTCAGTACCATATTTCTGCATCGTTAACAGTTATCTCATTTATATCGAGAAACGAGCTCTAACTTGAAGCTTGACTCACTATCCATACATCAATAGGCCCAAATTTTTAACATATAATGGGATTTGGCCTATCATATTCATATATCGATAGACGAACAGGAAAATTTCGTATAATAACAATTTATCTTTATTTAATTATGATATGGAAAATGATAGTATATGTTTTATTTTTGTTATATAATGAAAATAAGTTGTTATTTTTGTAAAAACCCGACAAGTATGCTACCTCTCCGTCTCTTAATAAGTGTTTATAATAAAAATGATATGCAATTTAGACATGAATTATGATTACAGTTTTAGTTAAAGAATATAATTTAATTTTTATATGACTTGAGCAGTCGTTAGCCAAGGGGCTGAGTAAATTTGTTCGACTACAAGATAAGCCCAAGATTCGATCTTAGACTCTCTTTAACCTCAACTGCTGAGTGAATCAAAAAAATGTGTCCTCATATTAATGTCCTTAAAAGCAGAGTCCTTGTAGAACCAATTGAATTGTTAGTAATGTACAAATAAACTCGAGCTTTATAAAATTCGAGTCTATTTCACTTAAATTTGTTTTTTTTTTTCCAGAGCCATCATTGTTCAATTATTCCAACCAACTAATGTCCACTTAAATCACATCATTTTCATAACAATAAATTATGTTTTCCGTCTCCGTGGTTTATTAAAAATTATAAATTGTTGCTTTTGTCTCTATGATTTGTAATTCATTGCTATTTTCGTTCTTATCATCTACATTTCTTTACAATTTTTGTCTTTTTTACTTACAGGTAGAAATTAGTTCAAGGACGAAAATAGCTATAAACTGTAAATTACAGGGATAAAAATCACAATTTCTAAACTATAGGGATAGAAAACGTAATTTACTCTTTTCTAATTATGTGGGTCTTCTATTTCATATTTTTATTGTATGTGTAACGTTGTTCATTACTTGACCTTTGATTTATAACTTAACCAAATAAATAACATATAAAGTGCAATTCCAAAAAAAAAAAAAACCCAAAGAATAAAGTAAAGGTCTAAGAAAAATTGTGTATGGTTTAGTTTTTGATCTACAAATCATATGTACCTAAAATTGAAATTGGGTTTTTACGAAAGCAAACGTAAGAACTCATTCGTTTAACTTGGTTGGTAGTATATGTCGACTACAGATAAATGGATGAAGTTTGTCAGCGGAAGCCAAAAGGAGTTAGAAACCGAAATTATTAAAGTTAATGCTAGTCCTGTTTCCTTTGATGAATAGTTGCAAATCTTTAATAATGAATGGTTCTCATTTTCAAAATGGCATTTATGAATCTTGATACACTGCAATTTCAAAATAAAAAGCAATCATGAGTGCATATATTAGAAGCAGATGCGTATGGTTAAAATGATAACGCAAAATACATGTACATGTACATATACGTGTATAGTTGTTGACGTAATATTTAAATCTTAAATAAATGAAATTGTGACGTAAGCAAATATTGTTTTTCATGCTTTGGTGTTGTAGCTTCATTTAGTTTGTATGAATTTGTTAAGATGTCAAACATCAATTGTGACGTCATTCACTATTTTCAGAACATCTATCCACACCACACCACACCACATGTGTCTGCCTAAAAAAAAACTAATTTCCAATCAAATAATACTCGATTGCTATTTTAGTTTGTCAAAAAATAATCATTTATTTTTCAAAAGTAACATCTACTTTCTCGTTTATCTTTAATACAAAAACACTCTCTCTATGATTAAAGAGGTAATATTATGTGTTTGCTGCTAATTTTTCTAAAACGACGTGTTGTGGACATTTATTTTGGAACGGATGAGTAATAATTGATGATTATATACTTCACAAATTATTAAATAATATTGACGAAAAATATATATATATATATATATATTTTTTATAAAAAAAAAAACTCAACAACCAGATAATAAAACATGAACATATGGCCGGATTTTTGCAAAATGTTTTCAAGTGATGGTCGTAAAACACGGGATTTGAAACCCTGACATACATATCTTTTGGTGAAGTCGAAAAAGATGATGTTGTAAAGAAGAGGAAAAAGAAAGTGTAAAGCATTTGTTATGTTTAGTTGGTTAGACATTAAAAATAGTATCAATTTCACCATTTAAAAATGTGATAATTGATGTGTTTGTAATAAAATATATAAAAATTAAATGTGGTATATTCTAACTTAGTCTCGAAGTCACTAGATTTTATTTTATTTATATTTTGATATTTGATTATTTATTACATATTTTAAATTTGAAGTGAAGTGAAGGTGATAACAAAATCCAAATGCAGTAGAAGGTGGTATTAAAAAGTGAAGATTCACATATATATATATATATATATATATCACTTTGGTCTTAGCTGCATATTATAAATATATTAGGATGAACTCAAAAGGAATAGAAACCATGAATCATTCACAATACACATGTTTGAATGTTAAAGTCTATAATTCATGTGGATTTTGAGACTTCAATAATTGTAGGATACATTTTACCTGCAACTTGGCATTGCCATATGTATTCTACAACCAAATCAATGACTTTTACTTTTTCTTTTTCTTTTTTTTAATAATTTATAATTATTAATTAAATAAGCACTATTAATTTATATCCTAAAAATAAATGAAGTACATGATACATGCATCATGCATCATGCATGTGAAGTAGCATTTACGAAGAAACAATACTATTATTCTATTATATTCTCCCATCAAATGTAATTATTTTATTTTATAGATTAAAGACTTAATTGTTAAAAATATGAAAGTCCTTTGGTTTTTGTATTTTATTTTTTTCTATTATTTTACCATTTTAATAGTTAATAAAAATATATCTAACATATTTTAAAAAGTAGAAGGATATTTATTTGACAGGTTTTTAAAGGTACAATGACTTATTTGTTTAAAAAAATTGTCCAATTACTTAATTTTATTTCAAACATTAAAGTTGATGAGTTTTTTCTCATACATAAACTTAAAAAAAAATGATTAGCATCATCTATTTTAATCTACATCTCACAACTTATAACTTTACATTACTCCACTTGTTTGATTGGTTTTCATTTGATTGTATATATTAAAAGTATTTTTTTTTTCTTATAGATGGAGTGAACGTATTTTTTTAGTTTTAAAACAACTTTTATTTATATACAAATAAATTTAGTGAATAAGCTATTTTATATATCGTCAACTTCAACTCACTAATCAAACAATTATGTATAGTTAAACAAATAAATTATATATCTCATTAGAAATCTGCTAACAAATAGACTTATTCAATATTTGATTAAAGAAAACTCATACTTGTTTCATTGTTAAGCAAATGACAAATTTACCCTTATTTCATTTATCCCTTCTCACAAGTCACAATGCTTTAGCCTTAATTAAGGGCAAATTCGGAAATCTAATTTCTGATTTTTAAAATTGACTTTATATATAAATAAAAATGTAGACATTTATTTTAAAACAGAACAACATTTTTATTAAAAATGAAAATGAAGATGAAGATGAGAAATCGGTGGATGAGTTTTGTTTCTAAAAACACAAATTTATTGCAATTTCAAAACACTATGTGTACTCTCTCCCTCTCCTATTATAAATGCTTCCTCTGCTCTCTTCTCTTTTTAATGCCATTCTAATTCCCACCCCCACCCCCACCCCCACCGCCACCGTCCTCCTTCATTTCTCCGCAGATAAAATGGCTGATTCTAAAATCAGGAATGTTATAAACAGGATCTTCACGGCGTTGTTAACTTGCGCTTTTGCTTTAGGTTCGTTTCTTCTTCCCCAATTTTCAAAATTCGAACTCGTATCACAAGTTTTGATTAACCAATTGGGTGCAGGAGGGGCGGGGATAGGGATAATAACGGGGGCGATCAAAGGGCAAACGACGGAAACGGGATTAGTTCGTGGAGCCGGTGTGGGTGCAGTGACTGGTGCAATCACGGCGTTGCAATTAATGGAAATGATGGCAAATGGCGAATCATTCTCTAAGGTTCTTTGATGTAGTGTTGAATGTGTTGAATTGGATGGTAATTGGTCGCCATTAACATGTTACATGTGGTGGTGGTGGTGGTTGCAGGTGGCACTGTTACATAGCCTTCTAAACGGGAAAGTGTTCATGGAATGGGTCAGTCCTGCTGTGCTCAAGGCTTATCAATGGCAAGTAAGTCAAAACACCCTTCCAAAATATCAACCACAATCTGTTATGCGCACACACACATATATATATATATATATATATAGAAAGATATATATATATATATATATATAAAAGTTGTTTTTAGGAATCTTAAATATTTTAAGAATAATTATTTATTTTATGTATTATTTATGATAGATATCGTGATAAATATCTGTAACAAAAGTCTTGACAAATATTTATGATGAACAATTGTTGAAGGTTATTGATCATGAATACTATATAAAATAAGTAGTTTATAGATTTTCAAAAATATTTAAGGTTCCTAAATAAATGTCATTCTTTATACATGTATAAGGAGAATTGATGCGAGTAATTTGAGAATCAAGAAACTAATCTTAGAGTGTATTCACCGACATATATGCTCTATCAAAATATGTATATCGTCAATAAGAATATTCAACAATATATATTCATTTGTATTTGAATTAGGTGGATAAATATACACTAAAAGTTCAATTTCTTGTTTGTTTTTCAAAATACTTGTATAGTTATTGTTAAATAATTTTTATTTGTAATACTTCTTTAGATGACGATGAATTTACATTAAAAACCCAATTGTCTAAAGTTAAATGGGTTGATACTTGCTTTTTTATTTTAATCTGACATTAAATTGTTTTTATAACTAGGCTAGTGCCATGGAGATGAGTTTTAGTGACATGTTCGACATGGATAGCAATGGAATAAGAGGATTATCCGAAGATATTATAGACAGCTTACCAAAACGAATATTTGGAAATTCTACTCAGAACGATAATGAATGCAACGAGACAAGCTGTACAATTTGCTTGCAAGATTTCAAGAATGGAGAGGAAGGACGAGAACTACTGAATTGTAGACATGTATTTCATTTAAAGTGCATAGATGAATGGCTTATTAGACAAGGTTCTTGCCCTATTTGTAGAAAGGATGTTTAGCGTTTTAGGGTATTAAAGACGTACGGGACTTGTTTGTTGTATTCTGTAAGTTACGGTTCAAAGCACAACTCTTGCACTTGTAGTCTACACGTCATGTGGTTTGTAATTTTACATTTGAATCCTTCTTTCGTTTAATAAAAGAAAGTGTTTGGTTTTTATAATTTAAAATAACATTTAACAAATACCAAGGATAAAATCAATAATATAATTTTTTGACTGCTAATATAATATAATATAATATAATGGATGATTTTCATCTCATTATTTCTCTCAGACCTACTTTCTTAAAGATTATATGAAAAATCCCATACAAATTGTGAGTTTTTTAGGGACTTGAAATCCACAAGAGTGACACGTGTCATTTCGTCAAGGAAATGAACACCTTTGACGATTGGGACGGTCATTTTGCACAAACATACAAAAACTTAAATATATAAAAACTTGGTCACTTTATACATCAAGGTCCTTTTGGGGAATCACTTGGCACATTCATTTAGTAGCAGCTTCCCTCTTTTTTGCCTTTTTTGCCCCTGCTCCACTCTCCTGCCACAAGAATACAATCTTTATATAATTTTCACTCCCAATTTCATTTCATGAATAATAAATAATCCATTTGGCATCAAGCGATACTTTTATGAACAGCTAAAGTTAGTGGAACCCACGGTTATGACTTAGATCCAGAAAACAGAAATTTCACGCTGGAACAGAACAGTAACATAACCTTATATATATATGCTTCATCACACATGAAATCAGCAACGAAATGAGTAAAGATTCGATGACTCCCTTGATTATGTAGATGTGATCGAAACGAAGAACAGGTGTAGATCGAGGCCTGCTAGAGCAGTGTCCTTAGACAAAAATTCGTCCGGTGAATTGGACGTCTATCTAGAGGATACAACAATCCATTCAAGAAGATACTTGAACCTGTCGAATCGACTATCTTCCGTATGAGATCGATATGAACAAAAGGCGCCAACAACCCAGAAAGTTTTTGTATTGTCGTCAGTCTCAAAAACGAGAAATGGAGGGAGCATTTATAGTACACCGTATAGACATTAACTGTCGGGTAACCGACGATAACCGTCGGACAGAGCCGAGTCCCGGCCGCACGCCTCCTGGCACCGAGCCATCTCGTGAATGATATCAAGAGCCCCCAAGGCCCAAGGCCCTCTTGATATTTAATATGTATTGAACCCAACTAGATAGTTAGGCATTTTGACACTAGTTATGGCCTTGGTAATACAAGGCACTTGAAATCTTAAGATTGGGTCTATGTGGGACAAGCCAAATACCCAACACCCACAACACATACACAGTCGAAGGATCGTGTGAGAAGCATCAAAAGGGATCTGGACCCTTGATCACCTTTAATCTCAAACCCTCCCATAAATCACGTTTGATATGAGGATTGATCCGTACATCTAGTGTTCAATTATTGATTTAACTAATCACATCACTTACAATTTCACGAATTCATGAACGTTATGGAAACATGATTAAAAACAAGTTGTAAAATTATCTTTCTAAGTTCTAATTTAAATATTTAACCAAAAACCTATATTTATAATAATAATTTTTTTCCCTCTGACATGAACGTACTTTTTTTTAATATTATTATCTGATTAGATAATATATAGAAGACATATATTTATATATATATATATATATATAATTCTATATATGACATACGAATTTGCCGCCTTAAATCAAGGCTTGAAAAATGCAGCGCCCTCGCCGTGGCGTGTAAAGCTTGAGGCTTGACCTTGCAGCCGTGTCATGCCTCACGCCTTTTTGAACATTGGGTGCATCTCATCATGAATGTGCATCCAAGGGTGGACATCCCTTCTTACGCTCCTCACATGAACTCTCCTTCTCACTAGAACCCAACCCTACATACATACGGATATACATACATACATACATACATATATATATATATATATATATACATACACACACACACACAAATATATAGGGTCAGATTCAGGAGAAAAACGCAGAAAAATGAAAAATTGATGAACACCTAGTAATCATTCATTTGATAAGTATGCATGTGTGCATACAAGTAATTTGCAAGTAATTTTTCCGATGCACATATCATACTTACGTTCATAGAAACCACGAGACATCTTCAATTACTGGTATGCACATGTGCATAACGTTCAAATAAACAGTTATTAGGGTGTTCCTCAATTTTTCATTTTTTTGGGTTTTCCTAAACCTCTCTCTATGTATATATAAGCACACGTACCTTTTTGTATAGCCAATATGCAACTCGACCACTCAGCTCCTGACCCTTTTTACTCGCATAAACCTGAAGTTAACACAAATAAACCAACACTTGAAAGGATGATTATACCAAATCTAGAAACAAATTTGAAAATGGAAGATGAAAGAAAGCTAGAAACTAGAAAGCATTTCAACTTACTTTCTTTCCATCAGGATATGTTAACCAATGCCCCGCAGCTTGCCGGACTGCATGCGCCTTTCTTTTCGCAGCACCTTTTGATTGTCCTTTACAAACACCAAGCTTTGGATTCACCCAACCTTGTGACCCATCTTCAATCCTTGATCTTTTTGAAGTTTTCCTGCTACTTGAGCTTTTCTTATCTTTAATCTTTCTATCAGAGCTCTCACCAAAGCTAAATTGGCCCCTAAAAACACAAGAGATAAACAATAATCATCATAAAACTATAAGAAAATCTGTCAGCCAACATACTGAAATGAACTTGAAGCCAAGTTTACATGTAATCAATTGTTGATGTACTGGGATGATGATCAAGATCTCTGTTACCCAAAGGAGAAAAATTAGGCAGGCGATTTCGAACAAGCTCTTGGATCCTTGAATCGAAATGAAAGAAATAACGATGAGCAGGGGGGAGAGAGTCATCCAAATCTACAGCATTAGTGTCATGTTTCATGGATCTGAAATCTTCCCATGGATGTTCTGTAGTTGATACATCAATCGATTCGATTACTTTTCGTTGCTTCATTAAACCTACATGTTGAAGAAGACCAGAACCAGACTGCCTCCGATTTGGATATGACTTTGATCCATTAATATTATTGTGAGCACCATCACTGACAGAAGGATCATCAGTTTCACAATCTATTTGGTTTCTGTTTTGTATATCTGGTGAGAGCTTTGAAGTGGTACAAACAGCAGGATGTTGTGTACAAATCTGTTCATCTGATATCAGCAATAAAAACAGTATGCGAGCGTTATGGATGATGACTGTTTAGCATTATATTGATTCAATAATATTTTTAAAATATGTGCACAGAAACGAGAAAGGAACTGCTAGGAAAAAATCATCACCAGTAGGCCAATCCTCCGGCGAAGAGAAGACGTGGACATCTTCATCATCGACAACCTCCCTAGAATGCAACGCGGGCTTAGTGTAGGGCGAAGCGGTAAGTAGACGGCGAAGGCGCTTGGGATGAGGATCTGGAAATTGTGGCTCCGAATCATCGACGAGTAGGACTAGGGTTTGAAAATGATCGTGTTGGAGAGTTGCAGCAGCTGTGGATAACAGAAAAGAGGAATCAAGGCCTAAGGAGAATGAAGGTGGTTCAAAATCCTCCATGACCCAAAAACCACCTCTGATTGGTAAAGGTAAATTATAAATAGTTGGTTGTTTAAGAAAACACCGATTATTCCAGAACTGCCATCCTTGATACTCTGTCTGATCATTCATCAAGAAACTAATAATGAATTTTTGTTTAAAAACACACACACACAGATTTTACATGCTTTTTGTTCTCCAATATTGCAAGATTCTTATACAAAAATTGGAGAATAATATGTTATTTCAACATCAACTACAAAAATCATAAAATATATAAATAAAAAATTACAAAATATCGAAATTCAATGCGATTCTTGCACAATAACTTCAAATTTGTGAATGGCTTCCGACAATACCTCTTATAATTTACTTATAACAACTTATCACTAGAGCCACCTCAAGAGCATCACAAGAGTCAAATCAAAATCAGGGGATGTTACGTTGGTTTTTCATTAAGGAACAAAATAGTCTTTTTGTATTAATCTGCCAGTATAGATGGAAGAAACGTGTTTTTATTTGAGAGTTGCAAGTATAGAAAAAGCTCGGCTTCTTGCATAAAGCCCTCACTAGAAGTTTACCGAACAAAAAGCCGCTTTCTATATCATTAAGCCACTACCAAACAGTCACATATATCTGACTAAAAAAGCCGAGTCTGCTAACCAACAGCCTCTTAGACATGAGGCATTGACGGTATATACGAATCTACAATCCAGAACAAACTATACTACACCCTAAAGACTAAAAAGATGCTTTTATATCCTCTCCTCAAACACCTAATCAATCAATCATTTTGGTGGGAGTAAAAGAAATACAATCTTGAAATCCAACAGCATTTGTATATAGGTTTGAGGGATGATTGCAACAATCCATTGTATGTATGTATGTATGTGTTGGGTCAATAGCAAATCATCACCAACAGAAAACAATTACAAGTAATCCATACTCCTCGATTCACTATATGCTTTCCCACAACCCCAACCAACCATTGAGTGTGTTTACTTCCTTTCGCAAGTTGAAACAAGGCGGTTTGTGTCAAGCTTCTGGCTTTTCAGCTCAGTTTGAGAGCTGCAAATGACTTGGCCACGTCTATTGCTTCATCGACATGCTTGATATCGGGTCCCTGAATTCACAAGGTTGTAACAGATTAACCAAAGGGTCATTATCCAGTTAGGGGTGTTCAAAAAATTCATTGGACCGTTTTTGGCGGTTTGAGCGGTCTGACAGTCCAGTCTAAAAAATAGCCAAACCGCTCGGCGGCGGTTTGAACATTTTTTGAGCGGTCTGGACCGAACCGACCGCCAAAAATACACATGTACTAATTGTATTTAGTTTTCATGTTGTATGTTCAACTTTTATGTCCCAATTAAAAAAGTTCATCTATGACATTATGTTTTTAGTTTTCATTTCCCAATTGACCATATTATCTAAGCTGACAAAATTCCGAAATTTGTCCAGAAATCAAATCCAAAATTCCAAATTTATTGATGGATTTGTTTAACCTTTTTCAATTTGCTCAATAATTTTTTTATTTTAGAGATAAAACGTTTCTTTTATAAATTTGTATTCTATATTATAATAATACTATATTAGTAGAAATTTCGTTTTGGATATAGATGCTATGTTATTTTTAGTTTAAAGCCTACAAGAGGCACAAACCGCCTAAATCAGTCAAACCAGACCGCCTAAATCAGTCAAACCAGACCGCCTCTTTGGGGTTCAGCTTGACCAGTTTGATCAATTGCTGCCAAACTACTTGACTTGAAAAATGTTAAAACCGCCATTGCGGTTTGGTTTGTGGTTTGAGGGGTTAAACTGCCCAAATCAAACCACAAACGCCCCTAAGCCCAGTGATAGAGCCCAGCCTCCCAAAAGGTCAAGAGTTCAAACCTCATCACAAGTGATGATGTTGGTGAGTATTTGCCGTGTATATATATTCTATATACTTAAAAAGGTTACAAAGGAATGCTATTATGCTAAGCTAAATAGCCATACCTGGCCTTGAGCGAGACCACCTTTCCCTCCACCACCCTTGCCTTCAAGTGGCTTCAATGCCGCCTTCAGCCACTCTAAGACCTTCAGGCGGTTGCTGCTTTCGCCCTTTTCCGGCACACCCGCACAAACCAAGGCCTTCTTTGATTGTTCGTCAGTGCTAAAAACCATCACCGCCAATCCCTGCCACCCACCAAATTATATTCAGAACATAAAACCATAACAAACCCAATATATCCTATTCAGAGAAAAGGGATGTTCACAAATGAAGATTTAAAGAGAACGAATAAGATGGATTTTTCTAACAACCTTCTGCTCCATGACTTTGACAACTGCTTCACGAATAGCAGTAGTATCTGATCCCACACCAACATGTGAAATGCAGAAGGCCTTCCCCTCAGAAGAGGCAACTTCTGCGGCTTTAGTGGCTGCTTCAACGGCTTTGCGTATGTTCTCCTCAGCAATCTTCTTTTTTGCTTTTATTACTTGATTCTGAAAATATATATAGCCGGTTATATATAAGTGACGGGCGTGTAAAGAAGCACATATATGTTAAAGAAAACCATCTCACCTGAAGAATGGAGATTTTGGCCTTAAGATCAGCCTTCTTTGCTGTTGGAATAGCGGCCGACTCTACTTGACCATTTAAAGAGGTCACTTTCTGAAACAGAAAAGAAACCCGCATGTCACATATCATAATTTTGAAAAAAGAGAGCACGAGAAACAAACGGAAATAAAAAACATTGGAAAAGGAACGTAGGATGTTCCAGCAGCTCTACTCCTCGGAGTGAAGCACAGGTTTGCGTACAGGTACATCTCATCCCTACCCCACTTCTGGTGAGATATATTGGGTTCGTTTGGCTTGCTTTGTTAGTAGAATAGCATAATATTATAAATTAAATAACCAACCTGTTCAAGAAGAGCTCCTTCTAGTTTCGATGCCTGATCAACTTCCTGTTCGAGTTCAGATGCCTTTTTCATAGCCTCAAAAGCATAGTCTGTTGTTACAGCAGTTACTCTTCGAATCCCCTTCGCAATTCCCTCCTCAGACAAAAGTGCAAATGCCTTTGCCTCTCGTGTATTTGTAATATGGGTCCCTGAGTAAATCCATAAAGTTTACTATAAATAGATAAAATTTGAGCTTTATCCAACTCAGCAATATTAAAAATGACACAGTAATTGGGCAGGTTAGAAAATGGGTGATCTTTCATTACAGGTTGAGGCGGGTTGGGTTGATTCGTCAGCACTTTTTTATATTTAGGATGTTGTAAGCATTTGAATACGTTTTGGGCCACAGGCCACTTATGACCAATTCGACTCTTTTTAGCTATTTTTTTCAATTTGACCTGTTAGAAATGAACTATAACCCAAATAAATATATTCTAAATAAATGTTGAAATTGCCACTTCTATTGAATGCACAAACCTCCACAAAGCTCTGCGGATATGGACAGCCACTCTTCATTTTCTGGATCAGCCAAGAGATCTTCTACTTTTCGACCAATTGCAACAATCCTAACAGGATCTGGATACACCTGCACCAGAAAGGAAACCTTATTGTAAGATGATGGGGCTCATATAAACCAAACCAAACCAAACAAACACAGTATTTCCCACACGGAGGTAGGGTCTAGGAGGGAAAGATGTGCACATATCGTAACTCTGTCTCACGAGACAAAGAGGTTGCTTCCAAGAAGACCCCCAGCTTCCGAAAAAGGTTTAAGTAAATACGATGAAACTTTAAAAACACAACGATAAGCCAAGAATTTTCCAAAACAGGCA